CCTCACCCCACGGATTACACATGCTGCTCACACTAGGCCAGTGGTGTGGTTCTGAGTGATGCCCTCAGTTCTGTCCTTTTCTTAGCCTATCCTGGAGATTTTCCCAGACTGTAGAGCAAATATAGAGTCAAGATCATTTTCATAACTTCAATAGCTTACAGTCTGTTAAAAGGCCAGCTCCTTCCTGATGACATATGGTCATTGTAGTTTATCATGGTGTGGTGAGTAGTAGTACTGTGTTGTGCATACATCTTTTCATGTATTAAGAAGCACTCTACTATTAATAGTAACTATCAATAAGGCCTCCTCTCCCAAATATGAAGAGAGGAATTGTTCTCATATAAAAGTAGTCCTTTTCCATTACATTAGCAACATAAATATATTGGGGAGAGGAGAGAATGTGAGTCATCTGCAATGCGTTTGCTCCAACAGGCTCTGTATGCTGATTCATCCCTTGCTTTTCAGATTGTTTCCAGTTCTTGAGTTTGGATGGGAAGAATCCTCACTATTTCCACATCCTTTCAGTGTATATGTGCATTTTAGATATGTGGTATGCACTAGTTAGAGGTTTCTTTACCATAATAAGTGTAAACATTTCTTTGAACACAAAATTTTTGTATGTTCCCAAGAATGTGTATGGTATTGATTTTCCAGGCCTTTTCTTAATCTGTGATAAATTAAACATTTGTTTATTTAGGTTGTTTCCAGTTTAAAAAGTTGCATTATAAACTGGACATGGTGGCACACACCTTTAATCCAGCACTTGGGAGCACTGGAAGGCAGAGGCAGAGACCTGTGGATCTCTTAGTTTGAGAACATCCTGGCTAGTCAAGGTTACAGTGAGATGGGGCCCACCACCCGGCTCTCAAACAAATCACACATGGAGGTTTATACTTAATTATAAATGCCCGGCCTTATCTTGGCTTATTTCTAGCCAGCTTTCCTTAACTTAAATTAGCCTGTCTACCTTTGGCCTCTGGGCTTTTATGTAGCTAGAGTTTTCCTGCCTGGCCCACAGTCAGGATAAATCTCTGCCACCCGCCAGTCCCACAACTGCTCAGACCCGACCAAGTAAACACAGAGACTTATATTGGTTTCAAACTGTATGGCTGTGGCAGGCTTCTGCTAACTGTTCTTACAGCTTAAATTAATCCATTTCCATTAATCTATACCTTGCCACATGGCTCATGGCTTACCGGCATATTTACATGCTGTTTCTCATCATGGCGGCTGGCAGTGTGTCTCTCACCCAACTTCCTGTTTTCTCAATTCTCCTCTCTCTTAGTCCCGCCTATACTTCCTGCCTGGCCACTGACCAATCAGTGATTTATTCATTGACCAATCAGCAACACATTTGACATACAGACCATCCCACAGCACTTCCCCTTTTCTTTTCTTAAAAAGGAAGGTTTTAACCTTTACACATCTCCAAAGTCAGCTTGGTATATTTGGGAATTTGGGCGTAGCTTCTCTTACTACTTCCTGCTGGAGGGGGGAGCTGTATCTTATGGGGACACAAAGAATATTTTAGGGTTATGGAGTAGTCCATGAGGGTGTATCGTCTGAGCCAGTTGCCTTGAAAGGTTCTGGATGTTGGATCATCTGGGCCATGGTGTCACCTTTCAGGGGGTCTTGGCTGGTCAAACCTGATGTATCTTAATCTGGAATAAATCCATAGCCTCTGGCTTTCTGTGGGAACAAAAGCAGAATCTCCTTTCCAAAGCAACATATCCTTATATCCAAATTTTGAAGTCAAGGTACCTTTAAAATATACATTTTGGCATAACTCAACAGCTTTTGTAATCAAATGTTTTTCTTTAGTTAAAAATCCCAAAGACAACACAATCCAGATTCTCTGTGTAATATTCATCTTCACGTGGCTTATTTTTTATATTAATTTTACTGTCTCTTTAAAGACTTTATTTTTTAAAACTATGTATTTGTTTCTATAACTCTATATATCACCTTTTTTGTCTTTTTCAAGCCTACGTATATTTTACACACATTCTAAACTATTACATCTGAATTGTCTTATTTTGAGTCTATTGCTTTAAGCTGCAGCAGCTGTGGCTGCTGGCTCCACCCACCTCAACTTCCCAACATGGCGGCGGTATTACCACCAGCTCTGGGAGCCATCATGGGTCTCTATGCTTTTATCCAAGCAGCATGTAGCCCAAAAACCTCTTTTTTTGTTTTGTATTAGCAAAGGCTAAATCTACCATGCAGCTTAATGTGCCACTTGCAGAGGCCTCATTCCCGCCATACTGCAGGTCAAGCGCATGCTAGGAACCGGCCAGTAGCTCAAACCGGCAGCTGCTGCTCATTTGAGAGAGACAATTAGAAACTGTTTTTAGCTCCGTTTTAGAATCTTTTTTCTCAGTTTTTAGGTGGAAACTCTTGCCAACACGTTGGACGCCATTTGTAGCTAGAGTTTTCCTGCCTGGCCCACAGTCAGGATAAATCTCTGCCACCCGCCAGTCCCACAACTGCTCAGACCCGACCAAGTAAACACAGAGACTTATATTGGTTTCAAACTGTATGGCTGTGGCAGGCTTCTGCTAACTGTTCTTACAGCTTAAATTAATCCATTTCCATTAATCTATACCTTGCCACATGGCTCATGGCTTACCGGCATATTTACATGCTGTTTCTCATCATGGCGGCTGGCAGTGTGTCTCTCACCCAACTTCCTGTTTTCTCAATTCTCCTCTCTCTTAGTCCCGCCTATACTTCCTGCCTGGCCACTGACCAATCAGTGATTTATTCATTGACCAATCAGCAACACATTTGACATACAGACCATCCCACAGCACTTTTATCTTTCTCTATTTCTGTGTACCTTTCATTATTTCTTACTCCGTAGCTTGCTGTGTAGCTGGGTGGCTGGCCCCTGATGTCCTCCTCCTTCTCTGGCTACTTCCTTCTACTTTTTTTCTCCCAGATTTCTCCTTCTATTTATTCTCTCTGCCTGCCAGCCTTGGCTATCCTTTCTTCTGCCTTGCTATTGGCCGTTCGGTTCTTTATTAGACCATCAGGTGTTTTAGACAGGCAAAGTAACACAATACAGCTGCACAGAGTTAAACAAATGCAACATAAACAAAAGTAACACACCTTAAAATAATATTCCCCAACATTTCCTCCTCTTTTTTTTCTAAACAAAAATGAAAGGCTTTGACTTTAACATAGTAAGACTGTATACAGTATGAACAATTATTAAGTAATGATTACATTCACAATGTACTGAATTCCAATTAATTTATGTCTGGTACATTTAAAGAAAATACTCGATAATCTACCTTAGTAAATCCAAAATTTTATACCTAATTTACTCTCTATCGTAACTAAGGAAAACTGCAACTATAACTATCTAGTCTTCAGCTCCATCAAAGGCCCCAGAAGGATATAATATTATTAAAGTAAGCAAAAAGTGCATTGCAAACAACTTCCAAAAACTCCAGAAATGACAGAGACATCTGACTGCCTGGACAGTCACCCAACGTTCTTCTGCAGTGTTGGGGCATCCATCTTTAGCCTACAGGCCCATAGTATCTGGCAGACTTTTCAATGAAGCAAGAAATTTGAAAAACTGTCCCACCTATATTGGCAAAGTTCATCAGTCACTTTCCTCTGTGTCCTGTAGAATGTCTGGCAGTTTCTTCTGTGAAGCAGAAACCCTAAAGGACAACACCAACCTTGTTTTGGCAAAGTTCAGTGGTCACTTTCCTGTGGGTCCTGCATGTCCAGTATACCACATGCTGTCAGTCAGTCCAGGCAAGGGCAGCTTCTTGCCCAAATGGCTAACCTTGCCACACTGAAAGCAAACTCCATAAGGAGTTTCTTCAATGCCCATTATCTCTGAAGTAAATTGGTGCTGCCAGGAGCAGATGTGTCTCATTTTCACAAAAAGCCCTACGTTAACAAAACATTTTAAATGCCATATTTTGTAGGTCTTTGAAAGATTTGAAGATTATCATATAATATTACATGAAGCATTTTTCCTTTTCCTCATATTTAGATTGGGGGGGGGGGACCCAGAAATGGAGTCATTGAATTAAATGTCAAAAGCATAGTGTCTTTTGTCTGTAATCTCAGCAGTTAAGAGGTGGAGGCAGGAGGCTTGCCATGAGTTCAAGGCCGTCCTTGGTTACAAACATTTCTCAAAAATCCAAAGTTAATTAATTTTTAGAAACCATAAATAAAAAAATATATATTGCCAAATTTCTTCTCTCAGAATCTCCTGATGGTAGCTCTGGCCACATTGTTACTATTTTGAAGCATCTTTGGTAATAGAATAGCGTAAAAATGTATATTGCCTTTTTGGGAGTATTATCATCTATTTTTCTCATTTCATCTTTTACCTTATTTTGTATGGGATGCTATCCTTATGTGCTAAGGATGATTTTTTTCACCAAATAGGTTTTAAACTTTAAAAACATACTTTTGTTTTACATTTTTATAGTCAATCTTAGATATATTTTTCTTTTCTTTTCTTTTCTTTTCTTTTTTTTTGTTTTTTGAGATAGAGTTTCTCTGTGTATCCCTGGCTGTCCTGGAACTCATTCTGTAGACCAGGCTGGCCTCAAACTCAGAGATCCACCTGCTTCTGCCTCTCAAGTGCTGGGATTAAAGGAATGCACCACCACTGGCTGGCTAGGCATTTTTCTTCCTAGGTCTTTTTATTTTTTTATTACCACACCCCAACATAGGAAAATACTGGCAATTTGATCATTATTGTCTTGTAAATTTTCAGGATTGTATTTATAATTCTCAGGATTAAAGTAAAATCAAAATTAGTTGACATTATTCAGAAGGAATATTATTCCTAGGCCTTGACAGAAAGTGTCTTATTTCAATATGTAAGTTGATGTATAAAAACACAAATGATAGCCTCTTCCTTATTCTGGGATGCTGTAAATTATTTCGCCTTTAGTCACTCTCATTTTGATTAGAGAAATTATTTCATGGTCCTTTGATGACTGCTTTTTCTTTCCTCAATGTAGAGAAGAAAGTATATCTTGTGTTGACGGATGTGGACTACAGACACATTGTGAAGAAAACAAACTGCACATAAATAAATATTACCAGGAAACCAAGACTCCAAAAATACTCCTCAGTATTTTCATGAACCTGTAAACTATGTGACTAGAGGCCGTTTTTCCAAAGGATGGGGGAAAGGGCCGGAAGTCCAGACACGGATCAGGAGAGAAAGGCAGCCAAGCACCACTACTCCCACTACGCGTCTGACTTTGGGTCCTCACCACAGTCTTCTGACCATTCGTCACCCATCAGTTTACCTTCGTGTCCAACTACGAAGGAGAAGAATCCCAAAAGACAGTTGTCAGAGAACCAGGTGCATCACCAAGGTAAGTGTCTACTGTAAAAGATGCCAGGCACCCGGACCCTCCAGGGCAGCGCGGCAAAAACCCGTGTGAATGAAGCCTCTCCGCTAGTGTGTGGGTTGCTGTGTACATGGAGTGGGTTGATTTTCATTTCAGATGGGCTTTGTCTTCATAAATGATGTGTCGCTTATATGTATATATGTTACTATTTTTATATTCAGAGTCATACCAAAGAGAGCACCAGAAGACTGCTCATTTTCTTGCTTCCTAAGGAAATGTCTTTCTTGTGATTGAAGAGGCCTTTAACTGTAAGGGCAAAACCTACAGGGCAGTTGTACTTTATTGTTGTTTTTTAAAAGTAACTAAAAGCAGTAATATAAACTAGTTATGAGGCATTTTCATTGACAGAGCTGATGCTCACTGAAAACATGCAACTTAACCTAGGGATGGGTTTAGGACTCTGGATTTTCCTCCAATTTGTTTGCTATTCACTGACTTAAAAGAGACTAGATTGTTATTAATCGTAATTTTTGTTATTAGAATGTTACTATTCTGGAGCATGCATAACTGTGTACTATTAAATAAATCTCTTCATTCTAATAAATCTCTGGGTTGAAAATCCCATTTCATGGAGCAACAGAATGCACCAAGTCTGTAGTCTGTAAGAATGGCGTAGAACAATAAGTGATGGCAAGTGAGGTAATTATGATACATTGATGCATGGCACACAGTTATGACAACAGGGCAGAGTGTTGAGACTTCCTGATGCCAGTTAGGGAGCAGCAGGAAGTTGGGGCTGAGAAGAAAACAGAAGCCACATAATGAAATACCCACATCCGATGGTAACAGACTATATTTATTATTTTTGTGAGTGACAGCTGCTGGACTGATTTAAGAAAGGGTGTAATTAAATTTGCATTAAAAATTATTACCTTGAAAAATAATGTTTACACATTAAAAACTACAAAGGACCAGCAAGGTGGCTCAGCAGCAGGTAAAAGGTATTTGTTCTTCAAGCCTGATGATATGAGTTTGACTCAGGAACCATGGAGGAAGGAGAAACCCAACTCCACAAACTCCAGCTTTGCCCTTTGATCTATACATGTGCACACACACTGCTATAATAATAATAATAATAATAATAATAATAATAATAACGAAGAAGAAGAAGAAGAAGAAAGTTGCAAAGAATATGTATCTGAATGAGAGCCACCTGTTCCCGGACCCCAGTCCAGCGCCTCAGGATGCCCATCTGCTGACATCTGAGTGCATCTCTTGTTTGATTGCCATTCCTTTTTGACTTCTTTTTTTTCTTCTAAGCATCATGTTTGGTTTTTTTATATTAATAACTATATATTTACATATATTAATATAAAATCAATGGTTTTGTATGTATATCAATACATACCAATATGTGGTCCATATTTTTTTCTTATTAAGAAATTTTCTATTCATTTTACATACCAACCACAGATCCCCCTCTCCTCTCTCCTCCCGCCCCCCTAATCTTTCCCCCCAACCCACCCTCCATGCCCACCTCCTCCAAGGCAAGGCCTCCCATAGGGAATCAGTAGAGCCTGGTATATTCAGCTGAGGCAGGTCCAAGCCCCTCCCCCTTCATTAAGGCTGTGTAAGGTGTCCTACCACAGGCACTGGGCTCCAAAAAGCCCACTCATACACCAGGAACGGATCCTGATCCCACTGCCAGGGGCCCCTTAAGCAGGTCAAGCTAAAGAACGGTCTCACCTATGCAAAGGGCCTAGTCCAGTCCCATGGAGGCTCCACAGCTATTGCTCTACAGTTCATGAGTTCCCACTAGTTTGGTTTGGTTGTCTCTGTATATTTCCCCATCATTATCTTGATGCCCTTTGCTCATAGAATCCCTCTTTTCTCTCTTTGACTGGACTCCTAGAGCTCAGCCTAGTGCTTGGTTGTGGATCTCTGCATCTGTTTCTATCAGTTACTGGATGTAGGCTCTATGATGACAGTTAGGGTATTCACCAATCTGATTACCAGTGTTGGGCAGTTCAGGCACCGTTTCCAATATTGCTAGTAGTCTAAGGCAGAATCATCCTTGTTGATTCCTGGGAACTTCCCTAGCAACCTGTTCCTCCCTATTCCCATTCTGTCTCCCTCTATCATGGTATCTCTTTCCTTGCTCTACCACTCTGTCCCTATTCCAGTTTGACCGTCCCATTCCCTTATGTTCTCATCCCCCATTCCCTACCCTCCATTGACTCCAGTTTGCTCATGGAGATCTCATCTGTTCCCCCTTCCCAGTGTGATCCATGTGTCCCTCTTAGGGTTCTCCTTGTTAGCTAGCTTCTCTGGAGCTGTGGGTTGTAGTCTGGTTATCCTTTGCTTTACATCTAGTATCCACTTATGAGTGAGTACATACCATGTTTGTCCTTCTGAGTCTGGGTTACCTTGCTCAGGATTATATTTTCTAGTTTCATCCATTTGCCTGCAAATTTCATGATGCCATTGTTTTTTACTGCTGAGTAGTACTCCATTGTATATATGTGCCACATTTTTTTTATCCATTCTTTGGTGGAGGGGCATCTAGGTTGTTTCCAGGTTCTGGCTATTAGAATAATGATGCTATGAACATAGTTGAGTGTGTGTCCTTGTGGTATGGTTGAGCATTCCTTGGGTATATGCCCAAGAATGGTATAGCTGGGTCTTGAGGTAGATTGATTACCAATTTTCTGAGAAACCACCGTACTGATTTCCAAAGTGGCTGAACAAGTTTGCACTCCCACCAGTAGTGGAGGAGTGTTCCCCTTGCTCCATATCCTCTCCAACATAAGCTGTTATCAGTGTTTTTGATCATAGCCATTCTGACAGGCGTAAGATGGTATCATTACTCAGAGTCATTTTGATTTGCTTTTCCCTGATTACTAAAGATAGTGAGCAATTCCTTAAATGTCTTTTGGCCATTTGAGATTCTTCTGTTGAGAATTCTCTGTTTAGCTCTGTAGCCCATTTTTTATTGAATAGTTTTGTATTTTTGATGTCTAGTTTCTTGAATTCTTTGTATATTTTGGAGATCAGCCCTCTTGTGAGATGTGGGGTTGGTGAAGATCTTTTCTATTCTGTAGGCTGTCATTTTGTCTTATTGGCTGTGTCCTTTGCCCTACAAAAGCTTCTCAGTTTCAGGAGGTCCCATTTATTAATTGTTGCTCTCAGTGTCTGTGCTACTGGTGTTATATTTAGGAAGTGATCTCCTGTGCCAATGAATTCAAGACTACTTCCTACTTTCTCTTCTATCAGGTTCAGTGTAACTGGATTTATGTTGAGGTCTTTGATCCACTTGGACTTGGGTTTTGTGCATGGTGATAAATATGGATCTATTTGCAATTTTCTACATGTTGACATCCAATTATTCCAGCACCATTTGTTGAAGATGCCTTCTTTTTTCCATTGTACAGTTTTAGCTTCTTTGTCAAAAATCAGGTGTTCATAGATATGCAGATTAATGTCAGGGTCTTCAATTTTTAACCTTCTTCTGAATCTGGTTCTTAGAATTAGCTGGGGGCATGATCACAAGCTTCTATATAACACACATCTCTTGTCAAGTTGAACCTTAAAAAATGCCTGGTATTCCTAAGGATAATTTACATATCTAGGGAACTGTTGGCAAGAAGCACATTCATTCTTCTCTTCCTCTCCCGGAAGTGACCCAGGTAAGGAGTCAGAAGTCTGTAAACCTTACTTTATTTGAGAAGATTGTTGAGAAGAATCAGACCAGTGAAAGACAATTCCAGCAGCAGTCAGAAAATTTCAGTTGTTATCTCCCCTCTGTCTTGCATGGCTTTCTGCTCTGTGATGTCGTCAGTTAAAATCTGAGGTCATTTGTCTGCCTTAGACCAAGCAACAAGACCAAACGGAACGAATTTCTTATCTTAGTTACTGTTCTATTGCTGTAGAGACACCATGACCATGACAGTCTTATAAAAGAAAGCATTTAATTGAGGACTTGCTTACAGTTTTAGAGGGCTCGTCTGTGATCATCATGGCAGGGACAATGGTGGCAGACAGGCAGAAAGAGAGACTGGGCCTGGTGACATATCTCCTCCAACAAGGCCACATCTCCCAATCCTTCCCAAACAGTTCCACTAACTGGGGACCAAGCTTTCCAACATATGAGGCTATGGGACCATTCTCATTCAAACCACCACACTCCTACTCTGGGGACCAACTTCTGTCATGGTCATGGTTACCATTCTTTTACTGTGAGGAGACAGCATGACCAAGACAACTCTTATAAAAGAAAGCATTTAACTGGGAACTTGCTTACAGTTTCAAAGGATTAGTCTCTTATCATCATGATGGGGGGTGTGGTGGAACCCAGGCAGGTATGGTGCTGGAGAGTTAACTGAGAGCTTTACATTCTGATCCACAGACAGCCGGCAGAGAATAAGATGGCCTGATGTGGGCTTTTGACTTGGAGGTTGTTTGTTTGTTTGTTTCTGTATTTTAACCTTTTGATAGGCTTTTAGATACCTCTTTTAAAGAGTAGATGTGTATATATCCTGAGGCTTAAGCTCAATAAATGTTAATAAAAATACTTTCAAATTTTTGAGAAATGTTATAATTTAGTATGTGTACCTCAAGAATTTTATGTGCTTTAAAATGACATTTATTTTATTTATATGCGTGTATGTCTTTGCATATGTTTCTTTCTCTCTCTCTGTCTCTCTGTCTCTCTCTGTGTCTCTCTCTCTGTGTCTCTCTCTCTGTCTCTGTGTGTGTGTGTGTGTGTATCATATGTGGATGTGGGTAGTGGAGAGCAACCTTGGGTGTCATTTCTCTGGAGCTATCTACCTTGGTTTTTTGTGACAGTAACTCTTCGTGGGTTTGTAGCTTGCCCAAGTAGGCTAGACTGACTGACCAGTGAGCCGCAGGGTCTTTCTGCCCTCACCTTCACAGTCCTGGGATTACAAGCGCACACTACCACGCCTGGCTTTACCATGGCTGCATTTTTTATGTGGGTTGTGGAGAGCAAATTTCGATCCTTGTGCTTTTGGGGCAAATACTCTGCAAATTGAGCCATTGCTTACCCCAAAACCTCTTTAAGGAGAAACGTATCAGGACCGTTAAAAAAAAAATTCCTGGTATTTAATCTTTACATATCCCTGGAACTTAAATGTATGTACTAGGCTGGCCTTGAACTCAGATATCCACCTTTCTCTGCCTCCTAAATGCTGGTATTAAAGGCATGCACCACCATGCCTAGCTTATAAAAACATTTTTTAAGAATGAAAACTAGGGGCTGGAGAGATGGCTCAGAGGATAAGAGCACTGATTGCTCTTTCAGAGGACCTGAGTTCAATTCCCAGCAACCACATGGTGGCTCACAACCATCTGTAATGAGATCTGGTGCCCTCTTCTGGCCTGCAGTCATTCATATTGTATACATAATAAATAAATCTTAAAAAAAAAAAAGAATGAAAACTAAAAACTATGTAGATCCCCCATTTCTGGATGGATAAATAATAACACAGGTATGGCCTTCACTCACATTATTACCTTTTCTTTTTTAGTCCTTAGGAAAGTTAGCCCTAAGGCTGTACCCAGCAAAAAGGGAGCCCGAGTCGGATTTCGGTCCCAAAGCCTCAACAGAGAGCCGCTTCGGAAAGATCCTGACATCGTTACAAAGCGAGTTCTTTCAGCAAGGCTTCTGAAAATCAACGAGCTGCAGAACGAAGTGTCTGAACTGCAGGTCAAGTTAGCTCAGCTGCTCAAAGAAAACAAGGCTTTGAAAAGTCTTCAGTTTCGTCAGGAGAAAGCGCTGAATAAGTTTGAAGATGCAGAGAGTGAAATCTCGCAACTTATACTGCGTCATAACAATGAGATTACTGCACTCAAAGAACGCTTAAAGAAATCTCAGGAGAAAGAGCGGGCGACTGAGAAAAGGGTGAAGGATACAGAAGGTGAACTATTTAGGACGAAGTTTTCCTTGCAGAAACTGAAAAAGATCTCTGAGGCTAGACACCTCCCAGAACGAGATGATTTGGCCAAGAAACTGGTCACGGCAGAGTTAAAATTAGATGACACTGAGAGAAAAATTAAGGTAAAATTGTACGCCTTCACACCGTGCTCTATGGCTGGTGCTCACTGGGCATTTTGACGGCTCTGATTAAGTAGTCCCTTGCAGTTTGGCCCTTGCCTAGACCCGAAAGTGGATTTTAATATTTTTCTGGAATAGAAATCAAGGACAGAGCCAGGCAGGTGATGCAGGCTTTTAGTCCCAAAACTCAGGAGTCAGAGGCCAGGGCATCTTGGTGAGTTTGAGACCAGCCTGGTCTACTTTCTAGGCCAGCCAGTGCTACATAGTGACACTCTGACTCAAACAACAACAAAACCACAAAAGAAATTAAGGACAATTAAGAACGTATATTTAGGGGCTGGGGAGAGAACTTAGTCTGTAAAGGACTTGCTCCACAAACCCAAGGACCTGAGTTCTACCCCCAGCTCTTACATAAAAATGCCTGGGAGTGGTAGGTGGTGGTGAGCACATGTAGTTTTAGTGCTGGAGAGGGGAGATATAGACAGGCAAATCCATGGGGCTCATTGAGCAGCTAACCTGGTCTACTTGGTGAGCTCCAGGTACCAGTGAAAGACCACGGTGGACAGCTGCTAGGAATGCAACCCAGGGTTTATCTCTGGCCTCCACACATGCACATACATGTATACATACCTTCACTTACACAGATTATTTATTTAAGAGCTTGATGTTGAAGATTGTATATTATTAGTAAATCACATGCTCATGGATGAGTTTGAGTCTTAGTAACTTTTGTCTTTTGATATATAACCACCCTGTACAAAACGTCCCTTTCCATGAAGCTAGAAATTCGTGAGAGAGGAGAAAGATCATAAAGGGGCAGAGAGAAGGTCATGGAATATTATGATAAAAAAGGAACTGTCTGGGGGTAAAGAAGGGAATCACATGGGTTAAAGGACATGGGGGGGGGTCAGTGGAGGAGGGGAAGAAATGAGAAGGAATATGATGGACCATAGCATAGGTATGAAAGGTTTTAGTGAAACTGTGGGGGCCCTCTGTATAAGAAACCTGAATGAACAACAGTCTATGTGAGGGTGGGATGAGGCAGAGATAGACCTGGTGTGGTGGCATGTGCATGTAATCTGGGCATTTCGGAAGCTGAGGAAGCCAGCCTTGACCATATAGCAAGACTCTGTCCCTTAAAAATAAGGGTACTGGATGCTTTCTATTTGGAGATCATTGTAGATGGACATGCATTAATAAGAAAACTATGTAGAAAGATCTTCTGTTCCCTTTGCATGCTTTTCCCACTATTTTATAATTGTCACACACTATTAGAGTCAGGGAGTTGTTCTAATACAGTGAAATGATCCAGCAATCTCCTCGGCTTTCCCCTGGCTTTATTTGTGCTCATGTGTATTGTGATACACAGTATAATTACATGCATGGTTTTCATGACCATGGCTCAGGTCAAGATACAGATCAGCAATACCTTTTATTCTTCCCTCTCTAACCTGAGACATTCATAATAGGCATCTCTATAATTCTTTAATTTCAAGGATGCTGTATAACTGGAGTTGCTTATTGTCTAGGCTTGATGCTGGCATGTATCATATACTCTCTAATACCAGTTGTTGGATGAGTCAACAGCTTTTGACTCCTGAGTATTGCTTAATAGTGTGGTGACAGTGTCACTGTAGAGCCAATTAAAGGGTAGTTCCCTTTGTTTTTTGTTTGTTTGTTTGTTTTGGTTTGTTTTGAGACAGAGTTTCTCTGTGTACCAATCCTGACTGTCCTGGAACTCACTTTGTAGATCAAGCTGGCCTTGAACTCACAGAGATCCACCTGCCTCTGCCTCCTGAGTGCTGGGATTAAAGGCAAGCACCACCACTGCTCAGCTACCCTTTAGTTTTTGAACTAACCAATATAGCTGCTACATGTACAGATTTTCTGTACGAACATGATTTTCATTCTCTGGGATGTGTACCTGGAAGTTCATGTGCTGGATGGTAGAATGTCTGCTTGGCTTTGTCAGAAACTGCCCTCGCCTTTCTAGAGTATCTGAACCAGTGGATGTTCCGTCAGCAGCGCCTCACTGCTCTGGCTCTTCTCCCCATCAGCATTCTGTATTAACCCTGTCTTTAACTGGTCATCACAGGCCTGCAGCACCCCTTCCTTACTGTGCTGCCAAACTGCACTCTCCTAAGTGTTGGAGTTGAGCATCTGTTTATGATTTTTATTCAGTGTCTTTTTATCTTGTTCTCGGTGGGGTTTTTCCTTCCTATTTGGTAAGTGAATTCCCCCCCTCTCCCCCGCCATGTGTGTGTGTGTGTGTGTGTGTGTGTGTGTGTGTGTGTGTGTGTGTGTGTTCTGTTGATTTTTGACAGTTCTTTATTTTCCTTCATACAGACCTTTTTTAAGATGTATGGTTTGCAAATCTTTTCTCACACTCTGTAACTTTTCTTACCATCTTCACAGATGGAAAGATATTTCAAGAGGGAAAGATTTTAATTTCTTTGTGGTCCACTTTACCAGATTTTTCTTTGATTTCTTGTGCTTGGTGTCAAGTCTAAGAATGATTCACCTCTATTGTCCTTTGCTTATAGCATAAAGATTACCTCCTGTGTTGTGACCAAAATTATATTCTTTTCTAATCATTATTGAGGAATATGTGACAAAAAATACATATTTAAGGTCTACAGCTCAATGTTTTATAAACACGTATGTTTTATGTTTTACATTTAAGCCCATGGTGCATTTTGAGCTCATTGTTTTTGCAAGAGGTTGCTGTTAGGCCAAGTATCAGGTCTTAGCTGCTGAGGTGCCATGAGAAAAGGCGGCTCTTCCTCCATCACATCAAGTTGCTTGGGCATCTCCTAAAAAAATCAGCTGGACATATTTTTGAGGGCTTCTTTCTAGATTTCTAATCTGTCCTGATGACCCAAGTATCTCTCTCCTGTTACCACACACTCTTCACCCTTAAAACATGACTTCTTACACAGACAGCTACTTCTTACGGGCTTCTGAAGTTCTCTTTAATCTACATTAGATCGTCTGCCTGTTTTAAAAGATGTATTGTGTGTATGTGCGTGCGCACGCAGGCGGTTTTGAGCTACCTGATTTGGATGCTAGCAACCCACCTCAGGTCTTTTGGAAGAGCAGCAAGTCCTCTTAGCTGCTGAGCCATCACTCCAGCCCCTCCATGTGGCATTAAAACGAGCTTGTGTGTGTCTGCAAACAAATCCTGGAGCTTGGATAGGAATTGCTTTATGCCCAGATCAATTTGTAGTGACTGCCACCTTAACTGCTGAATTTCCTGGCTCTAAGTGCAGGGTGTCTCCATTTATTTGACTCATCTTTGATTTCTAAATAGTCTCAATTTTTTCTCAGGTCTCTTCTAAAGTTATTTTTTGAATTTCAAAGCTTATTTCTATTGTAAACAATAGATTTTCAGTCGAATGTTTTATGCACACAAAGAAACGATGCAGTTGTAGAAATGACCCAGGTTTAGGATAACTGATGTATATACAAGCTCTGTGTCTCCAGGTCCCAGACCTGACCCGAGCTGCTTCTGTGTAATTAGCGTTGTGTTGGGGTGGGGTCAGTGTTTCATATGCAGTCAGGGACCTTCTTGTGCTAAGTGGTAATGTCACATCTGCTGCCACACCTTACTAGCTCTCTTCTGAGTGGCGTTGCTTCTGAAGCCCCCTGGGGAGAATTAGTCTTTACCTTTTAGCTTATTCCTTATCTTCCTGACACTTTTGGCATCCAACTCAGTATATGTAATTATTTCCTTCATAATCTCACTAATCAATCCAGAACTTAAAATAGTTGCTGTTGAGTTTTTCGTTTGGTTAGGAAATGAAGCTTTTGTTTTTATGCCTCATTCAGCGTCTTAAATTTTGCCTCATTCATTCTAAATTCATTTCCCCCTCTAGATCAGTTGGTGATGGTTAAGGCCTGTAATTGCTTAAGAGTCGGTGAGGAACTCGATTGTGATGTTGCATTTTGTGCACTCACTAAAACCCAAGGGTGGTCTGGCTGCCCCTGGTAATCTTAGCTGCATCCCTGCAGTGGTCCACCAGTCGCGAACTTTCCCCTAAGGCTGACTGGCTGTGTGGTGCAGAGGACATTTCGTTGTTTGTTTGGCTGTTTTTTTTTTTTTTAATATATGCTATCTGTGCTTGATCCAAATTTGTACTTTCAAAACAAAGATTTTATATCTTTCAGCTTGTATTACTTGACTTTCTTAAATTTTACTTTTAAATGCATTTTATTGTGCATATTTAACATAGAGAACATGATACATATACTAAAATGGTTACTATAATAAAACAAAATATCCATCATCTTAAACGGTTGCATATATTTCTTCCCTGTGATATGAGCAGTCAACATGTACTCATTTAATTAAAATCTTGAGCATATCATGCTAATTAACTTGGTTTTCATATTGTAGATCACACCTTTGACATTTTTGAGATTGTTTTTATATTCATTTTATTAATTTTTGAGACTTGCACACATGAGTACTGTATTTATATCATTTATTCCCCATACTCTCTTCCCTCGGACTCTTCCTGTGTGCCCCTTCCACTCCCTCTCAACTGTACGGCGTCTGTAACTATGACTGTTAGGTAACTACAACCTGCTGAGTCCATTGAGTGTTGCTCATCTGCACTTATGTTTAGGGATGACCATTTGGAATTGGATAATCCATCGGGGGCTCATCCCTGGGGGAGGCTGAATCTTCTTCTCTCAGAGGAACCAATTGCCTGTAGCTCTTCATCAAGGGATGGGGCCCTATGAGACTTCCCCCATCCATGTCAGTATGTCAACTGGGAGTGCCATTCTTCAGGTCTTGTTTAGGACACCATATTGTTGAATATTTCATGGGTGCAACTCCATGTCATATAGAATACAGAATCCTGCAGCGGATGGCATGGTTCTTTGGCTTTTATAATCTGTCTGCCTCCTCCTCCACGGTGTTCCCTGAGCCTTAATTATAGGGCTTGTATTGTAGATGTATCTGTTGAGGTTTGATACCTGGAGTTGCTTCCTGCATT